TGGGTAGTCAAAAAAAGCGTGATGAGCAATATCCGTGGCTAGGTCCTGGAATTTTCTGCAAGCTTCAGATAGCAAGATTTTTAACTGAAGCTTTTTATAGTCTTTAAACACTTCTTATCAGAGCACAGCTCCAACGCGCCGGATAGAGCTTCAAAGTCTAGCTTTTGTTTTGGGGAAGAGTTTGAAGGATATCCGCAGCGTCTACTGTCAGAGAAGCGGCGAGATGGCCGGCCTTAGCTTGGGAATACAATCCATTTTTGTGTCCCACTATAGAGAACTTAGTCTTGTAAACTTCCCTAAAGATCTTTCCATAATATGAGGATAGCTCTAGAGAGGGTCGAGGAGAGATAGATAGGAATTTAAAGGCATCAGAATTGTTTTTAGCTGTCACAATGGATTTCTTCAAGCTATCAACTTTGTTGGCGATAGCAGAATTCTGTCATCGATTTGTTGTTGAACAGCAGAAACTCTTTCTTCGATTTCTTCAAATTTATTTTCAACTGTGTCAGTTTGTAATGGATTGAATACACACAGAACCGATAATAGCTTGATAAAATTTATTATCTCAAAAGAAACTCTATTATTTTGGAACTTTTCACAAAAGTGCTGATACTTTTGACAGAGCACAATCAGTAGTTACTACTTCAAACTACTTAGAACATTAAATACAACAATATTGCAAAGCGCATCTAAACAGCAAAGCTCGCACGTAGATAGCTGAATAATCCGAAATAAAAATTGAGAACTGATGCTCTATCTGGTTTTATGTAGTTTTCCCTCGACCGCCGATAAATTTCCTCTACCTTCGAGTTCTCGAAATTGCTGGATGTTATACACAATTACAGTTAGTTACATAGGGCCGGATTTGTTTACAGTTGCATAGTGATATGATCAGTTTTAGTTACACAGGGGTCGAACCAAAATGTTGCTAAATAATGGCAATTATTTGCAGAAGTTGGCGAAAAAAATTAGTTGCCAAAACGATTGTCATGAAACCTTATATTTTAACAGAAGCTTCCCTCTCTTGAGGCCTTTAATGTTATACACTGGATAATACAATTTTACATACAATTTCACTAAAAGTATTTATATATACACAAAATTTGTGTACATCTCCGTTTTGCCGGCGCAGACGATAAAGACGCCAATAATGGTACAACTGGTTGACAAACGGAATATTCTCGTTGGTAATCTTTTACCCCTCATCTTCAAAACATGTCGCAGCCACTTCTTATCAGATTGATTGTTTCTTTCAATACTGGCATACAATTACATAGAATTTTTACCAGATAGTTCAATTTTATGCCCTAATGCCATTCGGGGTAATTAAGTCAACTAGGATGCAATCACACCAGTTAACCGAAGGCAAAGTCAAGAGTTAAAACTCATCAATTCTAATGAGAATGCACTAGTGAAGTACAGCACTGCGGTTTTACATAATTTCTGACTGAGCTATTCGTACGAATTGAATTAATTCTTGCATTTAAACTTGTATTCCAAACTAAGATTTAACTTGAAATTAATGTAGATGATTACTGGGGAGAATTAAATTTATGTAATGTAGTTTACGTGTAAATGAGATCACTTGGGGTCACGTGATATGAACCGGCGAATCAGGATGTTGAAACATTAAAGCATAGTAAATTCTTAAATTAATGTCTTTTTACAAATTTATTGTCTTTATTGGCTTTTTACAAAATTTTAAACAATATTAAAATGTGTATTTCTTCAAAATAAAAGGTTCTTAAAACTAACATTTGTTAACATTTTTAATGTGTATACTTGTAAAGGGTATATTGTCGCCAATAAAGTCTGCTTGGCGAGATTTGCATCGGCAAAACGGAAAAGTACCAAAATTTGTAACATTATTATAAATCTGCGCTTCTTATCAGTGTAATAAAAAGAATCATTTAAAATGTTATTTTAGCTGTATTACCTAACCGTCTTTGTATAAATGTTAGTTTGCATCATGTATGAATAGAAGATATTTTTAATACTACAATATGTCGATCCCAAAATTCCTAACTCTACATCTTCCGTATATTACTGTCTGTATAAAAAATAAAATCGTGAGGGAATGGTAAAATCTTGCAATGACACATATATTGCAAAATATAATTCTACTTTGTTACTAACCGTAACATATATTATGAATATTTTATTCCGAAGAGAAATGAAGAAATAAATTGTACAGCTTTTAGAATTAAAATTCTTTCAGTCAATTCTTTATTTTATTTGACAGTCAAGATTCAGTTAAAAAAAAAAAAAAAAGGCTAAAAGGGTTCAGATTTTAACTTTCATCAAAATGGCTTTTTTTGTGGCCCAAGTGGAAAATTAGATTTTATAGGATATTAGATTACATTTAGACTATCATGGAATCCTTATACATCTTCTATATGTTTAAAAAATGAAGAAAATACGTAGTGCAATTCTATAAAAATATATGTTTTTAATTAGATATATCATTAATTGAATGCATTTTTATTTAAATCAATTAGATTAAAAAGTAAAAATATACTTTCAGGAACAGCATATATTGCTTCTAAATAGTTTATTATTTAAACAAATAGATTAAATGCAAAAGAATAATATCCTACATTTTCCCAAATGGCGACAGACTCAAATGAAAAGTGAAACAACATAAAATCATATAGCCCTTTTGGGCTTTAAAGATAAGAGAAAAATTTTTATAGTATTTTTGCATATTTTTAATGTTTATAAATATTTTTAAAGTAAGCGTTTTGAGGTGTTTGACGACGATCTGAAATTTTCGGATAGCAAGTTTTATATATATATTGTCGTGCTTGTCAGGATGGCAGAGACATTACAGAATACGTGATTGAGAATTCAGCATTTTATTATCTAAAAACATGACTTTTATGTATAAAATATTTACATGCTGATAGAATATGATTAAAGAAATGATTATCCGTTTAAACTCAAGTGTTCCTAAAAGCCTACTAAATTGAATCAGCCATCTTGGCTTAAATCAAAATTCCATCTCAGGTGCAAACGCCCTACCAAAGTTCTGCAGACAACTCTGTCACACACTCTGTCTGTCTCACCTTGCTGGGTTCTCATTGAGATACGATGCAGCTGATTGGCTGACCGCACAGAGATACAACACATATTATTTTAACCGCCACAAAAATAATTCAAACGCATACAAATAAGTTAACAACAAGCTTAAATGTATTTGGCCTGAAGGTGAGTATGCCTCATTTGAGATCCAGACAACTGGATACTTGTAATTCTGCTGTACTTATGCCTTTTGTACTATGCGTTACATTCTGCACTTTCTTGTTTTGAGAACTACACATTACTTTTACATATATTTCGCATACTTACATATATTTTGCTGACTGAAATTATAAAAACAGCTCTTGAAATTCAGTATCAAATAAGACTTTGCATAATTTTTCTTATACAGATCAGGAAAATGTGGGCAGATTATAAGAACTTTACTACTAGTACTACTTAGTATATAGCCTCATCATCTACCCATCTGTACTTTTCTACCCAAAATTTAATAGAAAGCACCCTGAAGACGGATCTCTTACCTCTCATCCACCATCATCAAACCATTTGAGAGGATTTCTGACTAATCAGTAGTTTTAGTGCTTACTGTTAACTACTAAATTGCCACTGGCCCATCGAGACAGTCCAGCAATGTTGGCTGCCCCGTTTCATAACACACATGTGTATTTATTGCAAACTAAAGCAATTTATATGTACCAGAATTTTTTCTTTTAGCTCAATAGATTATATTTTAATTAACATTGTTAACCATGAGATGAGACGACACAGTATAAAATTCATGTAGTAGTATCCTGATTCTTTCTCTCTTTGAAACACTGGAATTGAAATTTGAAACATCTGTCAATTTGCTAAGATTTCTGATACTTCAAATGATTAGGACATCATTCAGCACTCTCCCTTTTCATTGCAGTGTTGATTTGCTAAGATTTCTGGCAGTCCACAAGATTAGAAAGTTACTCATAGCTTTCCATCTTCACCGTAATAACAATTTCACTGTTCAATCCTCAGTATGGATTTCTTACAAGTTTCAGAAATTTTCCTGCATAGAAATCTCACTAATGACATAGCTTCCCTTCATTTATTGCCAGAATGAAGACGGAAAAACATGTTCCAAATATTCTCTCTTTCTCTCTCTTTTTTCTTAAATAACTCCCCCAAAACATTTCAAGTGCCTCATGGAGCACTACAAATCACTAAGTTTGTCACTAACTCCTAAGTTTAATAAGCTCACTGTAGTCGTTTGAGAAAGTTGGACTAACATTCATTGAAATTGAAGTCAGCAACCTTATTCCATGCCATTTGTAAAAACTAATGGATATTTCACGCAGTACTGCTTGTAAATCCCTTCCTTTGCAAAGAGAATTGAAATCTGACATGCTCGGATAGCTTATATACTAAATGAGCCCATGCAAAATTTTGAATCAATTTGTGTTCATAAGATTGTGTACCAAGCATCCAGACAAATTTTAGGCATATTTATTATTAGAAATAGAATCTAAACAGTTACCAAATTTCAGCCTTTTCTTAAGATATCTAGCTAATGCTATATGGCTACATACAGATAAAGAATTTGGCAGAACTCCTGTAATGCACGCATACTATCCATAGCATTCAAAACATTTTAGCTCGGGGTATAAACATTAATAGTAATGATTTCAAAATATTATTAGGAACACTGTTTTAAAGTAGCTCACTGTGCTTAAGATATGATACGCAATGTGCTGCTGCACTGTTCACAGCATGAACTCAATTTTTTTTTTAAATGAAAATCCTAAAAATGTCAAAGCTTGGTTTCTGATTATAACATTACACTAGAATCTTTGAGAGAATATTTCAGATTTGTGAAAGTTTAGAATAAAGTGTTACTGAAACATAGCTACAGAAATTGGGGACTGCATGAACTTCAGGTCAATAAAAGTTTTTGCATATTATTGCATAACTGAATTCACAACTCATTTTATAATGATGCATAAAATATTCATTTATTATTCCTTATTGCACAGGTATTATATGAACAATATAAAAGTATAACAAAATAAAGAATTTATGAACCAAGACTTATTTATATAAAATTACAATATATAAATTACAGGACTAGAAATTTCATTCAACTTTACAATTGAAAAGGATTTTAAAAATAATTATCTTTCAACAATTGCTTGAAACACACATGACAAAAAAATTTAATTATTCAGCATTCAAATGATTGCAACAAAAATAATCACATTAAAAATTTATTTGACCTTCAATAACTATAACTACATCGCCACTAATTAGGGTTCTACCATTTACTACTTCAACGAGCAGATCACCACCTCGGGTAGAGCACTGTCGAGCTGGAAGAAATAAAGATAAGAAGGATGATTTAAGTCAGATTTTTTTTTTTTTTTAATCACATAAAGTAAGTTTACAATAAAATAATACAATGAAGGAAAGTTATTTCTAACATACATCTCTCATTTATTTTTCAGTATAGTCTTCATTCGCTACTACATATTTTAACAAACCAATGATTCACTTTTTCATACCATCCATTGGGGGGGGGGACATAAAAAATATCTGAAAGCTTTCAGACTTTATATTACGCTTCCAGGGGCATTTTTTTAAAAAAATTTGTGTTTTACATTTATTAAATAAATATCGTGTTCTTCACACTTAAATCATAAAATTCAATTCAACAGCAATATCACAAAATATTTTCCAATACACAGTCTCGTGTGCTAAAGATAAAAATGTTTTTTCCCCATACAGTATTGTCACTGCTCGCTTTGAAGTCATTGAATTTCTTAAACAAAAACTCATAAGTGCTTTTCAAAATATGAAATAGATAATAAATTCCAAATTTGGGCTTTCAGATGCCCATATTCGAGTGGAGATGTACATTTTTCAAAATTTGATGGCTCTAGATACTGGTTCTATCATAATACGAGAAACATACATACATTTAACAAAGATTCTTCATTATTTAATTTCTTTAAATATAATATAGGGTTCTAATATTTTGTGGCAACAATTTAAAAAGTGATTCACCATTTATAGTTAATCAACACAAAATGGCAAAATGAAATTAATAGCCCTTCTGGGCAAACTGCCCTTTTGGGCAAAAAATTTCAGTTTAAGTCCTTTGCATACAGGAACTTCCGGATAAAATTAATAATGTATATTTTCATTACCTTACAATTTTGGGAACAACAAGAAATCGAATTGTGGCAAATTTGTGCTGTACAGGAAGTTTGGATCAAATATGAATTTTAGGTTTGTTATTGTTTCCATCATTTAACAGGAATGCAATGCTTATACTGTCCTTATGCCAAAAATATACAAAGATACTAATACTTCCTTTCAAGTTAGATTATGCAGATGTGTTCCTTGAGTGTCATAAGGTGTGTCTTATAAGGTCCAAATTTTTTTAAATAAATCGCCATTTCCACAGCCAACAATTCTAAATAAATCACACTCTTTGTAACCCACAAGTGGTGAGTGTAAACTATAATAATGTACCGAATGAATACTTTTGAAATCCTTAACATTGGAAGAAATTAAATGCTGAGGTTCAATGAATTCTTTTTGTTACCCCTTCATCCTGTTTCCCTATTACGTTTACGAATTTTGAATGGCATAAAGCTTTCCAGTGTCCAAAATTCTATTACTGATCACTAATACTTGACAGATTTTAAAATGTTAAAAAAAAAAAATTTCTGCAATCATTTAAATGCAGAAAGGATGGGTTCATAAGGGTGATTGCCATTATTATATTTAAATTAATAATAAATTAAGTTTTAAACAATTTTTATTATTTTTCTTATTTCCATGCAGTTTTCACACATTATTAATAGATTAATTTTTGTCTTATACAGGAGAAATACTTGCAGAAATTTTTGCATTTTCTGCTGTGCTATTTAATATTTAATTACATGTATGTATATTATATTTTAATATTTATGTAAATTGGATTACCTTCCTACTTTTAAATACAAATTATATACTTTGAGATATTATACAAATGCAATTTTTGAATCTGTTTCTCAAATTTGAGTCTTGTTATCTTCAGAATAGTAAACTAGTAGGTTCATAATAGTAAAAATATCATGGAATTAGTTCCGTATAATCATAATTAATCGTTAATCACTTAAAGAAACTCATGAATAAAATCTCTTCTTTTTTAATTATGAATTAAAAAAACTTAGCTACAGTTATCAATACTAACATTATAATCACAGATACTATTAATACTTACCATATAATACATTCTTTTGTAAAACTTTAGCCCAATATGGACCAAGTACACAATAAGCAGATCCTGTAAGTTATAAAATATTGATTAAAAATATACTACAAATATTCAAAATGACCATATAGTATAAAATATGGAATACTCAGAATTTAAGTTAAAATGAATTGAATAAAAATTTTTAATGAATTAAATGTAATTATATTTTAGATGTTATACTTCACTGTTTCTCATACACTGCTCGACATTGAAAATGCAACACCAAGAAGGAGTAGTCAGAAATTTATGCAAATTTTAGAGTAGATGCACGTCACTGAGTTATGCGAAGAATGTGAAACGCGCAGCTCTCTGATGCACGTGCAGTAAGATATAAGGGAAGGAACGTGAAGAATTGGCAATATACGTGTCATTATTTCTGCCAGATGAATTATCGAAGAAAGTTGGTTTATGTCCCGGAGGATACGTGTGTAATAAGAGAGAATGCCAGGCCGCCATCAACGAAGGCACTTCCAGTAGATAGACGATTTTACGAGAGGTATGGTGATCGGACTGAGAAGGGTGGGTTGGTCCTTATGCCAAATCGCAGCTGATACCCACATGGATGCAAGAACGGTGCATCAGCTATGGCGAACATGGTTGGAACAAGGTAATGTGGGAAGAAGGAGGGGTGCAGGTGCAGCCAGAGTGACGTCAGCAAGCATAGATCGATGCATCCGCCGACAAGCTGTGGCGGTCCTGCAAGTCACTTGTACCACGATTCTGTAGTATGTGCAAGATACCCTGGATGTTCCCGTGTCAACCAGAACCATTTCCCGTCGATTGGTTGAACGTGGCCTGCACTCACAGTGTTTGTTAAGAAGATTGCTATTGACTCCACAGCATAGACAGCAATGTTTAAAATGGTGCCGGACTGGAGCAATGTGGATGACAGAATGGCTAAATGTCGTATTCTCAGATGAGTCATGCTTCTGTTTATCCAGTGACATTCGCTGCATACATGTGTGGCGTCGACGTGGAGACAGATCTAATCCGGCAGTAACTGTGGAATGCCCCACCATGCGACAACGTGGCATAATGGTTTGGGATGCTATTGCCTACGATTTTAGGTCATCTCTAGTTCATATTCAGGGCACTATGATGGCCCTACGATACTTGGATAATCTACTGCAGCCAGTGGCAATCCTCAGGGGCTGCCTAATGCAATTTTTCAGCAGGATAACGCCAGACCACACAGTGCTTGCATCTGCCAACATGCTCTGCAAGGTATACAGATGCTTCCCTGGCCACCGTACTCTCCTGACCTGCCACCAATCGAACATGCGTGGGATGTGATTGGACGCCGTTTGCAGACTCTGCCCCTGCCTCGTTCAGAAGACGAACTGTGGCAAATGGTTGAAAGGGAATGGAGAGCCATCCCTCAGGACACCATCCACACTCTTACTGACTCTATGCATAGACGTGTTTCTTCGTGCATCGCTGTCCACTGTAGTCCTACATTCTACTGAGCTGACGCCGTTCTCGCTCTGTATTCTGACTATCATTTTCAAATAAAGATCACTTATTGCTGCTTGCTGTCTCTGTCTTTCTTCCAAATTTCATCACTTTCTGACCACTCCTTCTTAGTGTTGCACTTTCAATGTCAAGCAGTGTACAATTAAGATAAATATTATATTATATTATATTAATTATTATACATACAAACATTACTAGACAAAAGTATTACAAGAAAATCCTTTTCCATTAACACCATCATAAAAAATAATATTTATTCATTTAATTTTTACAACAAAAGCATTACCTATATTGAATTATTAGCATAAACAGTAGAAAAATGTATCCTGTGCAATCAGTTTTGCTTTAACCAATACTTTTAATTTTCTAATTATATAAGAAGGATAATTTCACTAAAACTTCATTTCAAATGTTTATCTTAAACTTGTTCTCACTCCCACAGTTTCCTTTGAAATAATTTTGAATTTTTTGTATTCCTCATCTACAGCAGAGGTAGATGAAAAATTCCATACTTATGAAGCTTCAACAGCTGCACTATACATAAACACATGCTAAGGACTGCATACAGATTTTAATAATATCAAGTACATAACCTATATTACAATTGCTTCTAATAAAATTACATTTCAGTTTTAATGCAAAAGATACTTTCCAAGAAAAATAGGAACCATATAGTTTCAATATCATTGTAAAGTATTTTTTTAATGACAAAACTTGTATATCTAGTCTGACAGATATCATAGCATTCACTACATTTAAAATAATTGTCTGAAATGTTTGTTCTCTCTCTCTCTTTCTTTTAGTATACTTTATACAGCAAAAGGATTGCTTGAAAATGTGCATTTAATGCTTCAAGAAAAATAAAAAGAAATTTGTAAAGTATTTTTTAATGACAAATAGAAAAATATTCATTTTGTTCTCTCTCTCTTTCTTTTAAAGCACAAAAGGATAGAATTTTAAAAAGAAATTCTTTTTCTATTATTATTATTATTTTAAGAAAAGTACAGTTTACATTTTTTCCTTCCATTTGCGCCATGAACCCACTTGGAAACTCTCTATATATTTCTAGTATTTGGAATTTTGTAAATGTAATTTATAGAGATGCAATCAGTTTGATGTTTACTGAACAATGAATATGAAGAAACAAATATACTGATATGCAAAAACTGTTTTCTTTCTTCCCCCCCCTTTTTTTTAAATATATGTGTTATCTTTATATCTTGAAATTTATTGTTAAAATATTCTAATAAAATGGAAATCTTTGGTTTTTGGGAGGCAGTGCTATTATTGTTACAAAACAAGTTTAGTTAACTTTTATCGAGCTCTGAGCGCCACATGTGACCACATTTTGGATATGGCTAATCCTATGTATCTCACTGACATTTAGTGTAATTGAAGGATGAGCTCTGTGTTAGCCAATACAGCACTAAAATACAACAGCAATTTCTGTTCTGATTAGAAATTTTTCAGAGATCAGAAGTGTGCTTAAAGTCAATAATCTGTCAACACAGAATCTTACATCAATTAAGACAAAGGCAATTCATTACATAATAATGAATATGGATTACATGGAATATTTTTATCCTATATAAACAAATGATGTGGAGATTTCTTTCTGTTTTAGAAGTAAATCATCTACAAACAAGAATATAGCCTCATTCCTCTTTCACATTAGTAGCTCTGTATATTTTAATGCATCTTCCATTTGGTCTTATCTAACATCTCCTTTCATGCTGTTAAATAAATAAAACTTGTATTCAGGTTCAATGCACATTTACAGTATAGCCCCATAAACTTCACCTAATGTGTACTGAGGGATGATAAGCTGCTAAAATGTTGAGTTTAACAGAAAAACAGATGAGTTATTCATAAGATTTCTTTCAACACCTTAACCCATATTAATTTTATCAATGTCTCTTTGTCCAGTCTCTTAGGGTCCAGTTTCATTTCCAATGTCATGTTGATTTTTTTTTTTTCTTCTTGTTCGACATTTTCACTGCCACAGACAACATAACACTTGTAAACTTGGATATAAACTAAGGAATGCTACCCAGAATGAACTGAAAATTTAACTTACATTATCTATGGTCATAAAATTTCAGGTAAGCCTGTTAACAGCTTCCAACAGAAAAGAATGTGAATGGTAATCAACAGCTCTTATCTGACTTTCTTCAGGCCCTGTGTTACTGCGAGAAGAAATGATGTAGATTGGAATTTCCATGAAAAGAACAAAACCTGTCACCAGATTCCTTATACAGATTTCAAGAAACAGTGTCACAAACAGAAAGTAAGAAAAATTGCAAAATTAAACTACCATAACAAATTTTTGAACAGAATGAGAAAACATGCAGCACTCATATGTATAAATATGTACTCCAGGAAAACATTTAGCGATTCGAAAAAAAGTGATCGCCAAATCATACAGAATATTGAGTAATAGTGAGTTGAGTTTGTGGATTTTTACTGTATTAATTTTTTGACAGTCTAGTATCCACATTCCTTACTCAATTTAACTTCTGCAATAATGAATTTTTGGCAGTAATTCTTGCAAACAATTGATTCTCAAAATTTCCTAGGAAAAAAATGGGTATAAAAAAACTTTCTTTTCCGAGAAATCTCTTCACCCCTACATCAACTTCTGGATTATTTTCTTTCATTTATTTAATTACTTAACTTACTTGTATTAATTATAGTGCTTCTTTAATTTTTTGTTGTTTTTCTTTTTCTACTTTGTTTTGGTAAATCTTTTCATTTTTTGAAAGGGGAAGATGCGAAAAATAAAATATATACATAATTTAGTGCTCTATTTCCTCTTCTCACTGGAACATCAGAATGTTCACTTTCTATCAAAAAGTTCTCTTATTTCAAGTAATAATTTTCAATTTTTATATCAGATAAAGATTAATTTTTTTTATTTTAGATAAAAATGAAATTTTTTATTTTAGTGTGCTATAAAAGGTACACATAAATTAAAAATTTAATATATTTAATAAATAAAATAACACTTTTATTTATCCTGCTTCAATTAACATGATAACAAATTTACAATTTTCATTCTGTTTTGATCATGTGAAATTAAGCATGTCTTAGTTATTCATTTCTGTATTTTTTTAAAGTTCGATTTCTCTAAGGTCTCAGAGGTCAAATGATGCCCCTTCCCCAGAGACTATGAAATTCCCTCCATCAGAATTTCTCACTGATTGAAAACCCAAATTACTCTACTGAATTACATAATTAAAGTATAGGAATTAAATATTAAATTTGAAATTGAAGCTTATTTTACTTTATTTTGTCAAGAATAAAATTTTGCTGATGCTCAAAAGAAAAAATTATGTTCTATCTATCACTTCCCAGCATGATTCGTACACGTAATTCGAAACAGTTTTAAGCCCATATTAATTATTTACATGAAATTTATAACAGTGCTCACAAAAATATGATTAAGAAATGAAAATATACCAGTAACTGGATCTTCTGATACACCGAGCCATGGTGCAAAATAACGACACATAAAGTCATAACTTTTCCCATTAGCGTCCAAACAATCATCTTTGCCCAATCCTTTAAGAGTCACAATAACACCTATTATATCAGAAGTAGCAGCCAAAAGTTCAGAATCTTCTGGCTTGAATTGCTCCAGCTGTACCCTAAAAATTTTAAATAATTTTAGAGAAAAGTTGCTATAAAGCAACTGTAGAAATTTATGTTCTAATGATAAAATTTTACTATAACAATGTGCAAATAAATAAAAGCACATTAACCGATTCACTTCAGAATTATTTGAATAACTAATAACAAATGAAATATACATCACATAAAGTAGATAATGAAATGATTTATTTAATAACACAATTCCCAAACCAGTATTCTTTTATTAAAATTATTCTAATTCATTAAATTATTGACTTCTTCAGACTCAGATGAAAAATAGTATAAGAAACCAACCTTTATGAACTTAAGCCACATTTACATGCCTCTAGCAGAGAACACAAATAAAATTAAATACTTACTGAATGATATTTATTCAACATAAATATATACAAAAATTTTGTTGCAATACAAATGACATCAAAATCAAGAGGTTGAAGTTAAGACACAACTTCAACAACTGACAACTTGACAAGAGACAACTTGTTATTTGACTTGTGAATTAGATTGAAGTTGTTTAAAAAAAAAAAAAAAAAAAAAAAAAAAAAAAAATTACTCTCTGATCATCTGTCCAACCCTGAAAAGAATTCACCAGACAATGAATGCACTACATCACCAAGATAGATAACCCATAACATAGCAAAAAAAGTACAAGGTATCCCATACGTTCGTAAATATTTAAAAATTCATAAAAATTTAAAGAATTGGTAGAATTGAATGCAGTTTGCAAAAAAAGTTATTCTTGTGAAAGTGGAATTTTTTCAGGGAGGGGGGAGTTCAAATTTTCATTAACAAAGGGCACCACATAGACACAGTAACAAGAAATAAGTAAGTCAGAGTCCTATAAATTCCAAGTTTTACAATTAACAGCACATTTCTGATTTTTTCTCCTACTTGCACACACATAAAATTTTAATTGCGATGCTGACATTAGTAGATATGTTCTGGACAAATGAGGCTCATTTTTCATTGCATGGAACAGTCAACACCCATAACTGTAGAATCCAGGCAAAGGAGAACCAACTTCACCACATTTAACTGTTTGGTGTGGTTTCACTGGGTGCATTTATTGTTTTCCCTTTTTTCTTTGAAGAGCATTATGCAAAAGCTGGCTGGAAGACCTGCTTAATTACTGCAAAGTGCTAATTGCAAATGTTGCACGAGAAAGTGATACCGCACTTTCTGGAACATAATGCCCTTGACACAGGGGGTTCAGCAAGACAGGTCACCTCCTCATATCACAACTGAAGTGAAGACATTCTTAAGAACTCTCATCGAAGAACAATTAATTAGACATCACTGTAGAAATGAGTGGCTCCCTCCCTCCCTGGACTTAACACCAATTGATTTTTGGCTTTTGAGGTTATTTAAAGTCCAGAGTGTACTATGATAGCCCATCTTCTTCGGTGCAGTTAAAAGATGCCATTTGTCATGAATCTTTTGCATCCTTTCAAATATGCTACATGCTGCAGTTAACGATGTTGTAACTTGCTTGCAAACTGTAATTTGTGGTGACGATGGACACATAAAATAAGAGGGAAATAAATGCTTGTAAACATTTACCTGCATGCAAATACGTGTAGTTTTCCTTAAAATGTGCAATTTGCTTTGTGACTTTTATTGACAAAAATTTCGAACTTTTTTTCCTTTACCAAAAATAATCCCCCCTTTATGAGAATAAATTTTTCACAAACCATGTTCAATTCTACCAATAATTTCAATTTTTAAAATGTTTACAGATTTATGGGATACCCTATATTTATGCAGCGATATGAGTGCAGATGTGGGATTTTCAAATTCAGCAGTCATTTTTCTTGTTAATGCTTGTTCTGATTAGTGTTTGATAACACAAACTAGAATAGAAGAGAAATGCGCCAATGTAACAATCAAAATCGCAATAACAACCTTGTATTTAGCGTACATATATTAAAACACTCAATTGATTTTGAGGGCAGCTAAAGGTCCCTCCTCATTAAGAGAACGAAATTACTAGAAAGGGGAAAAAAGAAGAAAAATAAAGCATCCGCAAAGGAGTCTCAGAAACACGTGGTCGTTATCAGCACTGCACGTGGTCGTAACCAGATTTTGAATCAGAGTTACACTGGCCGCCTACTTTTACTGAGCCAGGGTATCTGATCAAGCATATAACATATAGACTAAAACACAAAAAAATCAGCGAAGTCAAAATATAGGGAGTGAGGGGCAACTGCACCTTCATGCACCAAGTCTGAAATTCGAGGTTCAGACTCGTCAGACAGAAATAAGGAAGCTGGCCATAAATCATGCCAATCAGTAAAGTATAATTTTAGCCTAACTTGACAGCATCCGTCATACATTATTGGCTATTTAGCATGAGATTGGCAACGAAAGACAAAATGTTTCGTTAAATTTTGTTTTGCTTCTATTGCACACTGAGACAATTAAGCCTGAACTGTATTAATTTAGTTAATTATTATTATTGCATCTAATTCTTGCAAAAAAATGAGTCCTGAATAAATAAATTCCCACATATACTTAAGCTTACTGAGGGCCGGTGCTACATATTTTGCTGCCTGATGCCCGGATCCGGGTAGTTTCTACGGGTCCTGAATTCTGCTACCAAGCACCTCCCTAAGTTCTAAATTTTTGCCACCCCTTAATTTTGGGTCCCAGTGCTTTCCCTAAATTCTAAAAAATTTATCATCCCTTAATTTTGTTACATGGTGCTAAATTCCAAAAATGTTGTCTTCCCTAAATTCTGCCGCCCGGTACAGTCATACCAGCTCTGGCGCTAGTTCTAGGTTTATGTGAATAAAAAAATCAGTTATTCTTAATTCAAATAGCTCTAAATGTAATCTTTTGGCCAATGAGTATCAATAGCAAAATATATTTTTAGCATATGGAAAGAAATTTTTGTTACATTTTTCCTTGTGAACATTCAGTGCATTTAAATTAAACCCCTAATCGTTGCCAAGCATAATGTCAGCATAAAAGGTTTCCATACTCTTTGTTATTCAATTACTAATAAAAGAATTGTTTAGGCATCACTGCATGAGTCATTACTCAAGTTGTCATGTGTTGATAAACACATTGTGATGAAAGCAAAACATAATAAATAATGATTTGCCAGGTTGGCATCAGGAATATACAATATTAGTAGTTGTAAAATCAACGATGCTTCTAAGTAGAATGTTTCGGTTTGAGATGTATGCCAAGCAGATACGCAGCTACGGAGCCAAAGTATTGATCACACAAATTAATGCTAAAATAGCTGTTTCTTCAACAAAGAGTATTTATATTATTTAGTGTCGAAGTGAAATTAAGAACCGACATTCTTCGCATGTTTTCTTATGGGAAAAAAAAATCAAGTGTGCATGCATAAAGCCCAAAAAAAAAAAAAAAAAAAAAAAAACATAAAAGAATTTTTTTTGTTGGTGGCTGTAAGGTCCGGATTTTAGATCATTCCGGATCTGGATGTCCAGATCTCGGACTTTGTACAGTATAAGCATGAATTTTGAGTAAAAGTAAATTTAACAGCTATGCATTTATAACACATTTGATCACTTAAAACATACAGTCACAATAGATTATCCCTTTGATGTGTGTTTACTTAAGGGAATATATGGTACTTTTTCCTTATATGGACCTCCTAATTTCAAGAGTCAGTAAAACTAACGTGTTCTGGGTATACTATCAAGTGCTATATGGGATAGTAACTAACTCACATAGTGTTGATGTATTTATATGCTTTATTTAATCTTACTTCTGTTGAAAAGTATCTGCTGGCTGTAAGAATGTAAGTATCAGCCATATGGATTTTTGTCATGAAAGTTCTTGTTTTTTTATGCTTTCTACCACCTTTCTATTATCTTCCATAAATAACAAAACAAGTTTAAAATGAAACGAATGTGAACAATACAACACGCATTTTGAAAACAAACATCTTTTTCACCAATCTGAGGGATAATTGATTCTTGTTTGGCTTTCAAGTCTGTTTACTAAGTGAAGATGGTAACCCAGCTACATAAGTTTCATGGAAAATGGGGGTTCTGAGATACTTTTCTTTCGATGCACTGTCCCAGGTACGAATGATAGATGTGATAAGCAGATGTGATAGTGGTGTTAATTTTTTCAATAAGTTGTAAGAATGATAAAAACAATAATATTAGTAATAATTAATAGAAGGCTTAATAACATATAGAAAATAACACTGATTAAAAATGTAAAATATGCAAAATACAAAAAATAAATAACAACTGTAAACTTAAATAAAATTAATGAAGCAGAAAAGCAATTAATTGTAAAATGTAATGTGTGTGCGTATATACACATATATACGTATTATCATTCATTTACATAAAAGAAGAAAACAAACTGATTACTCATACATAGCATAAAACATAACATACATTGTTATAATTAGATGCATAAAAAAGCATCATTTTAGGTACATGCAAGAGGAAAAACAAATTTTGTCAATTTATAAATAATTTTAAAAATCTAATAATTATACTTAAACAATTAATATAAAATTTTTATGTAAATAATTAAATTATATAAAATTTCATGTACAATAATAACATAAAGAATGACATTGTATATACAATAACAGTATGACATAAAATTGTTATAAAAGTCATATAAGTCACATAAAAAATTTTAGTAATTGTTAACTTAACAGAACTCAGTTAATTACAGAAACAACAAAAAAATATTTTCAGTGGCAAAAAAACAGAAAATAGCACAGATGGATTCAAAGTCACATTCTGCTGATTCACAGAAAATTTAAATGCTTCAACAAAGGGGCCATGTGTTCAAGCTAATTAGATGGAATCCAAAAGTTGAAAAATAATTAACAGCAGAAAATCAAAACTATAAATCAAATGCAAACATATGATATATTAAGTTTTTCTTGATTGTCAGTCTTCTCAAAACATAATAATATAGTAATTTCCTTAAACAGGGGCCTCCAACATTCGGAATGACATAAAATTTAGATCTTCAGAACCAACAGCAACTTTTTTTTAAAGAAATTATTTATGCTTTGAACAATTAATATTAGAGAGTCCTGATTCTTAATTTTACTTCAGAACTCTATAAAATACTTCCATATTGAAGACATAAATATTTATTAACATAAATCTCTATAATTAATTTGCTTTTATAGCTGCCTTTTTGCTTGGCATATATCTTGAACTGAAACAATCTAAAAAAATCCATAGCTAATTTTACACCTACTGAATAACTTATAACCCAATCTGGTGAATCATTTAGCTTTCCAAGGATTACAGACTTCAGCCAATTGTGTTACGAAGTGTTTGTATTGATGAAAAAATATTTAACAGAAACTTCTTTCAGTATGAAAAAGATTTTGTAAATGATATTCATAGGCCAAAATATTACATTTAGAGCTGTTTGAATCATGAATAATTGAACTATTGTTCTCATAAGACTTAAATTATATGTGGGAATACATTTATTCAGGACTCAGATAAGGAGGCATGTAAGGGAAATAGACATAAGTATAATAAATAACTCAATTAACATAATTTTAATTTACTTCCTCAGCACATGATAGAAGCAAGACAAAATTTACTGCACAACATGTTTTTAGTCACCAGTTTTATGATACATCTACAAAAGTGTATAGCGGATGCTAGTCAAGTTCTATAAGAGTCATAAATTTGATGGTTTTCAAATATCACAAACAAAAAATTTACTAATTAATGAAATTTCTGAAAAATGTAGAAAAGTGGGAATAAATGAAGATGATATAGCAGATTTTGCAGCCAGGCAGTAAAGTGGTTAGGGGAAACTAACTTCAATACCGAAGGGCCTGGGTTCGAATCCTGGAGAAGGCATGGATGTAAAATTGTCTGTTCCTTCATAGGAGGTAACGGTGGCCACCTATTAGGAGCCTCCACAATAGAATGGCCACCACTTCTGGCCTTAGGAGTAGCCAATGCTGTTATATCCAAGTGCTCGCCATTGGAAATATATATATATACATAGATGATTTTCATTGTGATGAAAATGCCCCAATAATCAACAAATGGATGATGAAATCTGTAGAGTAGTTCTAAACCCAGAAAATACCCCTACTCATAGTGAAGAAAGGTTGTCAAAAATTAAATTTCAATTGACAACTTAATGGAAATTCTCGACATAGGAATTACAGGACTTGAATAATGGAACTTTATGACTGAACAAGAAATTATGTATATCTATAAAATTAAAGCGAAATTGTTAGTTTAAAAAATTAAACAATTGAAATAACTTATGTTGTAAGAAATAAAGGATACAAATAAGTATTGAGACTTTTTTTTTTTTTTTATTTTGATTCCTTTTAAATCATAAATGCTTCATTATTTCATAAACAACTATTTCATATTTTTAATGTTGTAATTTCTGCATGTCATTTTACTATACTAAAACTGATAATTTAAAATACAAAAAATTCTGAAATCCAAAATTGGTGAAGTCCTAATGAGTCCAGATCTCAAGACTTTGTACACTGTACTAAAAGTTTCCCAGCTGTCTTGCATAATTTATATACTCTGTTTAACATCTTAGTAAGAATATAATAAATGATTCACATCTAGTCATTAGATAAACTGATTTAACAACCAAACCATCAAGATTATTTGATGTGTTATTTGATGTTTTACAAATTAGTAAATTACATCTTATATAAATGATATAAAAATAACTTTTGCACAATAAATATTACAAGAATTAATGAATATCAGTTTACCTATCAATTCAAGTACAATTAAAATGTTATAAATATTTTGTTCTTTCTTCTGAATTAGGTCAAGGGAAAATACTGAAGATGTTATTTTTTTTTACTATGTCCTGGCAAAGACTTCTCTTATTAAAAAATAATGAATTTGATTTTGATAAAAATAATGATTGATTTGATGAAAATCTCATTCATACGTAAGCAGTCTAGTGATAGAAAAAATGTACAGCTATATCTTGATTAATTAATATTTTTAAAAAATTAAACAATGGTAAAAATCTCCATATTAGTTCAGAATCAAATAATATAGAGTAATTTTTTTCAATAATTAACCACTGCTATTTTGAGCAACTTTTAAAATGTGATTTTATGAACAATAACTTGAAATTTTGAGCATTTATTCTTAAAACTAGTAGCATATCATGAAAATTTAGCAATTGTAATTGCATGTTGAAATGAAATCTAAATGAAAAATTAAAGATTACAGTTTTCTTAATTTTTAGAACATTTCATACTTCCAAATTTTTATTTATTTATTTTTATAATTTTTAATATTAAACTCTTCTTTGAGTTGACGAGCCTGTTCTGAGATTAAAGAGCCTTATTTCGGCAAAGACAAAATTTCCACCTCCAAATTTCATAACTTTGATTCATTTTCCAAATAATTTGCAAGACAACAACAGCCTGATTTCTGGTTCCTTGCAATTTGAAACCAAGAAAGTTTTTACAGGATAAAATTATCAACCCTAACTTCATCCCCCAATCTGGAGGATTAGACCTCCATATCTATAAATGCTCTTAAGACAGAGCTTGACTAGCTATACCTAGTACCTTGTAACATCATCACATAGGCGAATTGTCAAGTTCTTTGAATCTGGCAGCAATACTTCTTGAACAGGTAATGATCCAACAACTGCCTAAAATATAATTTATATATTAAGTTAATATGTAAATAGAAACAAAACATATGTTACAAACATATGTTAAATGATAATGTCAAGAATAGTTCTTGTATAATATGTAGTGAAATGTATCTTATAAACATCATACAGTTTATACAGGCAAAAGCTGTTTTTCATGGGAAAATCCTTCTTCCTCTGTATTAATATACAGTCAAAAGTCTTTAATCCGGATGTCCTTAATCCGGAATGATCTATAATCCAGACCTCAAAGCTACAAAAATTTTTTGCGCATGCATAAACGCATAATGCGTTTACGCATGCGCATTTAATGTATAACGGACAGTATAAGCTAAGCTAAAATTATCTCAGTTAATGTTGCAGATTGCGTTGTTCTTTAATCTTCTAATTGGATTTGGCTTATTATTTTTTGAAGAACTGTTAGAGCAATTTTATAAAAGTAAGCTTGAACTTTCGATTAAGTCAAAAAGAATTTCTGATTCTGAAGCTGCCAAAGGATCTACAAAGCGAAAGTATGTTTCGATGTCTATTAAACAAAAAGTGGAATTGCTGCAAAAAATGGATAAAGGCATATCCTTTGTTTCTCTAACCATTCCGAAATCTGTTTATCAATTTTACGCTGCTCTGCGGGGAGGGAGGGGGAAGTCACGGCACACAATGAACTGGCAGTTGATCTGTCAGCACTATCCTTATCTTCAGGACAGATGATTTTATTTTATTGGGCTTATAGTTCATTACTAAATGTAGTATTTCATCTCGATGTACTCTGTCTTTGATATGATTTAAATCAAATTCATTATAAATATCACGAATACACATCAAATAGTTTTCTGGTTGCAATTTTCTAATTTCGACTATGCGTAATGTATGCTTTACGCATGCGCGCGTTGAAAGAAATATTTAATAAAGTAAACAAATAAATATTAAGCTTTTTTTTGTAAATTTTGATACCCTTTAGATCATAATTGCTCTTTATTTCATAAATTACGGTTTCATATTTTTAATTTTATAATTTCTGCATGCCATCTTACTAGATTTAAATTGATGATCCATAATCCGGAAAAACCCATAATCCAGAATCGTCGAAGTCCCGACAAGTCCGGATTAAAGACTTTTGACTGTATATTAAATTTTGGATTTTAGGAATTTATTAAATTATAACAAAACTTTTGAGGGCTATCTGCATAAGAATAAGAATACCTTCTTGGAGGATTTTCTAATGGACAATACAATCAGATACATTGCTATGTAAGTGGTTAGTTTATCATATGGAAAGAAAATTCTTTTTCTCAGATAAAGGCAAAACAATACAAAGTCGGAAATTATATAAAATCAATATAATGGAAAAAATACACAAAAATTATTTAACATATTTTTTAAATCAATAATTTTTTTTAATATTTGAATTTTTTATACAATAAGTGCATAAAAACTGCTATCGAAACAACATGACTTTTCTGCCTTCTTAAGCAAGCTTTAGTCAAGTCAATAATTAACTGCGGAACACAAGAATGAGTTGAATATTGCTGAATAAGGTGTAAGAGTTAAGTTACATAATTTTATGCTAACCTTTAAAATATTGCATTTATGCATTAAGCACAGCCTCACATTAATTAAAATCAAAATTTTGTGCAATTAGAATATGTGATTTTGTTTCTGAAAACTTGTATATATTTGTAAAATTAAAAATAATAAAACAAATCTAATAAGCCATTTTTTTTTCTGAAACTTTTGTTCATATTCTTAATCTAATTCATGTGCAGTTATTTGCATTATGATTATGTTGTATACTGCATACTATAGAGAGAAATAAAAAGAGGTTGATAAAAAATTCATTCTTTTAAAAAGGATTGATGCAAGAAAAATGTTGAGAAATCCTGTTCTAAACAAACTGCTCACAGAAATAAATTAAAAAATAATTATCTTTTCACTTTCTTACACCATGAAAGTGCCAATTTTTTATTTTATAAAGATGCCATAGCATTAATATGGAGTTCAAAAAACAAATGCAGTTATGTGTCTTAAAAATGTTTTTTGAGACAACAAGATAGTTTGTTGAACATTTACAAAGTCCTCAAAAACTGCAAAACGAAACTGCAAAAAGTTACGTATTAATAAAATGAATTTAAAAATAATTGCCTGATATATTTTTGATTTTACAAGAAATAAATATCTTTAATTTAAAAATTACTTTCAAGTGCTCGTTAGTAGCTGTTAAAAAAATTAAGCTAAAGTTGTAAAATGAGACATTGATAATTATTTTGAAGTTTTAAAATCAAATGGTTCCAGGAATTACAAAGCCACAATAATACAGTACAAAGTCTAAAATCCGGACGTCCTTTATCCAGAATGATTTAAAATCCGGACCTCGAAACCACCAACAAAATTTTTCTCGTAGGCTTTATGCATGCGCATTTGATTTAACTCTCTGTGCATAATAAAACATCTGGAGAGTCCTGATTCTTAATATCACTTTGACACTCAATAAAATACCTTGTTATTGAAGAAACAATCATTTTAGCATAAATTTGTACGATCAGTAATTTGGCTCTGTTGCTGCGTATATGCTTGGCACGCATCTCAAACTGAAACATTCCACAGATTAAAGTTGTAAGGATCTTAAGTTTTACTAACGTTTATTTTATTTTAAATCTTTACTATCACTTCTTATTTTCTACTTCCGGCCAGAATTATAAGCGTGAAGGAGTTTATGCAAAGTTGTCTGGCGAACGCCAAGTATTTAAGTGTGGCCTTTTTGCCAAGCAGAAGAGAGGAAGCAGTGAGTTCGAAGCAGGCCGCTTACCTTAGAAGTTATGCAGTTGCTATTTGCCTTCCAGGCCAGAGGTTTTAATCCTCTTGATAAATTAAACGTATTGTAGTGTTCACAGTCTCTGTGCTACATACGCTTTCTGTTAATTATAAGGCCAATCTTATTCTAAAGTTAAATTAGAGTTTAGTTTTATTTTGATATCTTTTACGTTAGACCCCGAGTGGAGGGTCATTGTATTCCGAAGTACGGAAGTCATTGTATATAAAGAAAAAATAAAGGGTTTTGTATACCCTTCGTCTGTATCCTGTCTACTTACTACAATTAGTGAACATAGCTTTAGTAAGCTCTCTGTTCTAGTCAGGTCCTTGTATGTTTCCCGAAGAAGGTAAGAAGAAACATTGAACCTGATAGTGGCGCCCGACGAAGAAAAGAATAACCATGGCCGAGTTTCAAGAAGAACCTGTGCTGCCTGCAGAAACGGCTCAGAATCCAGAAATGCCAGCTGCCGCCCTGGAAGGATTTGGGTTACAATCGTCCAGACCATGCGCGCTTCGATGAAACCAGAAGCAACGTTTAATGGAAACTCACAGGTAACCAGTTTTTTGGAAAAATTGGATGACCACTTCATGCTCTACCCCGTGCACGAGTTTCAAAAAGTTACCTTAGCTACCAGCGCTTTGAGGGCCAAGCGCTTAACTGGTTCAAATGTATCGGCAGAAGTCCTCTTGGGTCAAGCAGGAAGTCCCACCTATACTTACGAAAAATTTCAAGACTGCCCTACTAAAAGCCTTCCCTGTTGTAAGGGATCGTGCGAAAATTAGAAACGGAACTTTTCAGTATATATCAACAAAGAATCGAAAACCTCTCGAGCTTTATTTTAAGAAAAATTCACGTTTTCAAGCTCTTGTATGGAAACCGTCCGGATCCTGAGATAATTCAAGTGATTTTGCCGAGGTTACTACCCCAAGTGCAAGACTTTATTGAATTAAGAAATCCGACTACACTGGAAAAGTTATTTGAGCTAGCAATCCAGTTTGAAAGAAGAAGAACGGCGGACGTCGAAAGAAGACGCCAATATCAACAGCGAAACCAATTTGGTACGCCAAGACTACAGCAAACTCAAGAACACGGCTACGGAGAAAAAGCGAATCAGTGGGCTAGGAAACCCGAGCAGTCAAAACAGCCGGCGAACGTCGACAGTTCAATAGCAACCCAGGAAAAAAGTTCAAGGCCAGTGGAGAAAAGAAGGAAAGCACCGAAAGGAAAAAATAATTTAAACTAAAAACGGATTTCTGCTGACGAGAGGGTGCGGAAATCCGAAGGCCACGAAAACCCCTCTTCCTACAAGTTAAATTCAGTAATGGTGAAAAATTTAACTCTTCCGAAGATTGAAGTCTTGGTAAATAATATCCCAGCCACCGCACTCCTGGATACCGGCGCGCAGTGTTCCTGTGTGGCAGAAGAAGTTTTTTTAGAAAGTATTTTTCGCAAATACCGCATATATAATGCGGATAATACAACAGTGTTAGCGGCGCAAGGAGAACAATGTAAGTGCGTAGGTAAAGTACCTTTGTACATCCGTATCAAGGACGAACAAGTAAAGGTGATGTTTTTTATAGTAAAGAATTTGCAAGCACATTTAATCCTAGGAATAGACTTTTCTTTCAGAAGCACAAGCAACGCTGGATTTTAATGAAGCGTCCCTTAAGCTGACGATGAAACCAGTTCGTGTAGAAAAGGTTGAACCGCCAAGGTTAAATCTTGACCACCTGCCTAATGACGAGCAAGATAGAATCCGACAAGTGGTAAGTGAATTTGCTTCGTTATTTAGTGATATTCCAGGATTTACTCAGGTTACTAACCATAGTATTGACACCGGAGATGCATTGCCGGTTCGTCAAAAAACCATACCGGTATGATAAGAATAAGGAAAAAAATTATAGAATGGCATATTACCGATATGCTACGTAAAAAGATCATAACGCCCATCTCAAGTAGTTATGCTAGCCCGGTGGTTTTATGTAAGAAAAATAATGATATCCTTTGGAGCATCCAAAAAGGTGGAGATTCGCTATTGATTACCGTAAATTAAATTCCATAACTAAATATCCGGTATATCCGTTACCGATCATAGAAGAAAGAAGAAATTTTAAGGAACATAAAATCAACCAAATTATGACGACTTTAGACTTAACGACTGGTTTTTTTCAAATAGGGGTCAGGCCTGAGGACGTGCCTAAGACT